AGGCACCACACGTAACATTACTAGCACAAAAAACAACACAAAAGCCACGTAGGCTACAATTTGCCCCTTTGCTTTCTGCCCTAAGCAATATGGCGTGCGCCGGCTTCAGCCACAGAGCCCCTCCACCACTCCAGAAGATTTAGTATAACCTCCTTGGTGACCACACAGCTCGTAAAGTAGTCAGTCAGGGAACAGAGAGACATACTCACGGCAGCACCGCTCAATGCTCGTCAATGTGCGATTTGCAGCCAAATAGTCGGCTGGGAAGATTTGCAAACCGAATTAGTATTCATAGTTTTTATTCTTTTTTTTGTCGATTGACGAAAACATTGATTCTCCAAATGGCCTTTAGGGCATGTGGAAGATTTTGCTGTTAATGTGGCCGACTGCGCAGCTCCGTTTCTGTGCACACTGGCTTCACGCGACGTCGGTTTCACAATCAAAATACGCGAGGACCGATGAACATGCTAGAGCAGCAGTTGCACCACATCGTGCGCTCTACGTGAGCATTAGGCTTAGCTTTATGATAAACATTCACAAGGACGCTGCGAAGTGGAATTATGAGGCATTTTACTTTATTTTGCAAATATCAAACAAACCCTTGCACAAGCGAATGTTCATTTGCGTGAAGACACTGTTTAGAGTGCACAGGCCTGACAGCTGTTGCCACTTGGCCACAGTGGCTACATTACGGTGGGCGGAATGGCTCGCGAACGAAAACAGTCACTTTTCTGTGTGTTATCGCTAGTCTGCTAACAAATAAAACAGACTCTCGTCGCCACGCTAAACTTTCAACTATAGAGACACATGTGCCAGCGCAGAAACTTTAGTTAGGCTGAATATAGTGACAAAGTGGATTGCTGGAATATATTGAGCAGAGGGCTTCAGTGGCATTATAAAAAAGTTCTAGTAGTGTCTGTCGCGAACAAGAATATCATTGGCACATAAATGGTCCGAAGCCTTGTAAACAAACTAGACGAAAGGTATAAAGAAGTCTAAGACTAAGAAGACGAAAAGACTAGAGAAAGGACTAAAGAAGTTAACTGCAGTTTGTGCAAGCTGTACTCGAATGTGCGCAGCAAGATGCACAGATATGTAACTGTAGCAAAATGGTGCATTGGCACAGCTGAACCACCACCGCATTAGCCACCTTCCTTGCATTATCGCGAAGCGATGCCACAAAGCCAACTGTCTACCGCAATCCACGCCAGAAATGAGTGAATTATTGAAACATTTTTTGTCAAACTATCCAATATATTGAATTAATTCTCATTTTTTACAGAGTTCAATATATGTGGATTTCACTGCACCAACTTATAACAATGTTTTTCTTTTTTCAAATTTTCAATCATAATTTGAGAAAACAATGTTTGCAAACCAAATACTTCCGATATTAACGAAATACTTTTGATAAAAGTCATTCAGCAGTCACTGAACATGAAAGAACAAACAGGTTTTCAGGTGATATCAGTTGAAATCAAGAAGCAATGGGCATAAGCAGAGCATGTAGCGTGAGGGCAAGACAACCAATGGCAATATTAATTAACAGACTGGATTCCAACTGAAGGCAAGTGCATGATGGGAGACAGGAATTTCGGTGGGTAGATGAGATTAAAAAGTTTGCAGAGAGTCGCAGAAGTTCGTCATATGCATCTAGTGCTTTCTCCCTCCTACCATGCTAGCAAGTGTGCTGAAAGCTATGCAGGGAGGGTGATGACAAGGGGGGCAAGAATATGCATTCTTTCATAGGCCCACACAAGGGTGCAACAGCCAAAATAGATTTTGGAGCACCAAATATTACTTTTGGAACACTAAAATCTAAATTTGGAGCAGGTTATGGAAAGAAACCATTCTTTATCCCGAAAGACCAAATTTGGAGCAGTATAAAAAAGGAAGGCTTACGTTTAGAAAAAAAATGTTCAAAACAATGAACCCACCTAAACCGTGCAGAGTGAACATAAGCGCCACTATTTCAATGAAGTTTGAATTACCCCACCGAGCAAACAATGAAGTCCACATTAGCACTTGCTGTGCCTGTCGAATCATTTGACAGACTTTGTTAAGTCAAATGTGGCTTTACCAAGCTGGCAACCTTGAAATCCGGGAGATTCCTAAAACTGGAGAGAGGGATGGCAAAAAAAAAAAAATCTGGCACACTAGCGTTTTTTTTTATGGCCAACAAAAATGCCGCTCCCTGCTCCAAATGATTGCCTGTAACTTTCAGAAAGACTTCAGCAACCATACTAATAGGCACAATTATGCGGCACACAGACGCATGAGTAATTGAACAAAATGTGCTGTTGTGTGTCGTGTCTAAAGCTAATAACCCTTCCCTAATCATAATACTTTCCCGCGACACACCGGTGTACTGCGGCGAACGTGACTTAAGCAGCATTCTGCGTAGGTTAGAACAAGCTCAAGCAATTTTTTAACCGCTACACACACCCCCAACTACGCCCCTACTTTTTTTTTTCTTTCCTTCAGGGTCGAATTAGGTTTAGGACACAACTTCTCAGCTCACTTGCAGGGTGCCTTCGACAAGATAAAGAAACAACAGCGCATGCCCGTTAGCTTGGCGACGGCGCCACATATATAGTGCCGAGACAACGCATCTTCAAGCCAGAAAAACGTTTGTGCCGTTGATATGGCAACCAATGTGGCAGCTGGCAACGACGGCGTTCGCAGCACATCGATCTTGTTCGTGCGCGGGAAACACGGCATACCTTCCTAACATGCCATAACCGCATTGGGAACTAGGAAACCGATATTTCTCGCAAAGCGTTGATGGCTACGGCAAAGCTTTTTTTTTACAGCGAAAGCTGTTATGAGATCACAACTCGGGTCACGCGCAGTTGCATGTTGTTCGCCGCTGCCGGTGTCCGTAATCACATCGCGCAAAATCTGAAAAAAAAAAAAAAAACCTTGCACCACTGACACAGTGGGGCTTGAACCCAGGTCTGCTGGGTGCCAGCCCAATATTCTACCACTGAATTATGCCGCTGCTTGTAACTTGTCAAACTTGCCTTAAGCAGGCATGACCCAGCACCAATGAAACAGTGGGGCTCGAACCCGGGTTCGCTGGGCGCCAGCCTAGTATTCTACCACTGAGCTACTACGGTGCTTGCGACTAGTTGTCAAACTTGCCTTAGGCAGACTTGATGCCGGGAAAGCAATCGCATTAATACGACTTATAAAGCCTTTTACAACAGTGAAAAAACAACCAGTCATCTGATAATAGGATTAGCATAACGAGTTGGCCGTCCAATGCTCTGACCCGTTACAAAAGCTTGTTCTTGTTTCCCTATTAACTGTGGTGCATACCCACTTTAGCCATAATTCCTCATCGTCCTCAGCCACTGCATGGACAATTGGCACGAAATTCCTAGAAAGTGTTTAGCGGATACCAGGCTTCTCAAAAGAATGACGAAAAATAGCATAGCGAATGCCGGCCTACTACACAAAAGTTTATTATTAATGCCCTAAGGGGTACCAAGCAAGTGTGCTTGCAGTAGTTACCCATGAGTGTTTTGAAAAGGCTCTGAAAGGTCGCTCTTCTAGTTTTTGCTGTGACTGTGCTGCGCCACGCAGTCACAGCCGCGCAGGCCTGGCATTTTTTTTCACTTGAAGTTCTGCCATTCTGCCACTGTGTTCAGCAGACCGATGGGTGCACGGCGTTGTTACTTTATTTTATAGCTTATCTGGTTGAGCGCGCCTCACGAATGTCCACACGTAACGAGTATATAACACTGTGGTTTAGGATTCGGGTCTGCATGCTTTGTTTGATTGATGACGCAAAGTGCAGGTGGCCAATGAGACCTCTATTCCTCGCTGAAATTAGCGCACCTGAGATAATTTTGAGGCTAGTCGGGCATTCCGGCGCAGCGAGGCCCAATTTCAGGCAATTTCACGGTTTTGGTGCAGCTCAAAGCAACAATGGGAAATTGTATCAAATTGGCGCAATTGGCGCAGCTGTTGCATCTCTGCCCACACCACAACCTTGAGCACTTTTGCTTTTCATCGAGAGAACGGCTTATTCTTAGTGCGATTGCCAGAGAGTGCGCAGACACGTGGCGGCATCTCGTGGTGGCTATGGTAACTATGCAGCTCGCTGTGCTCAAATCAGCCAACAGTCGTGGATTTCTGGTATATGAGGCAGTTATTTGGGTGTATGACATTTGAAGAGAGGGAAGAGTGAGAGGGAGCAATTTCTAGCCAACTTTGAGAAGTAATAGCAAATTAGGCAGCGTGCTGGGCTATAATGTTTCACTCACACGTTCTCAGTAGCCTCGACTACCAATTGGCAACATCTTTAAACCATGATCAAAAGATGTTGCAGGGTCCCTTTAATACTAGTCCTTTGTTGCATCTGCTGATAGAGCTACATTACAAATAAAATGGGTTGCACAAAAATGCATGGCATACTGTGAAGCAAGTAAGCAGCACCACTGTTCCCTTCTTCGACTCCCTTGCTGATTTGCCACACAAACTTTTTGGACAGAGCACATACACATGCAAGCATGCATGCATGCGCAACAGCTGAATGCCTGCCATATCTGTAATGGAAGTTGACCTTGACATATGCATTAATAAAGACTACAATGCTCTTGGAGAGCAGCAGAACCTAAGCCTTAAATTAAGCACAAGGGCAGTGACACAACTGAACAACAGATCTGGCGAAGTTTGCGCATATGCACACGCAAAAGGTGCGGCAGTAACTTAGAAAAAAAAAGGTCAAGTACAAATAAACTACATAAATATAGCAAGTTAATTATATTACAAATAATAAACAAGAGATGACTGAATACTGAACCACAATGAGCGTGTCATTTTGTATTCATTACTTTCTAGCAGTTTTTGTAATGGAGAAAATTGTTTTCTATGCAAGATTTCTTCCCAATTCTTCCAACCCTCTGCCAAAATGAAAGCAGATAGTGGAACATTAGTATTGATGGATACACAGGCAAAGACAACTCATGTTCAGTAAGGAGAAGTAATCTCACCTTCTCGGCAGCCTTCTGAGCAGTTTTGTTGAGTGCATTAACAGTGCGATTGAAGGCTCGTTGCATGTCATCCATCTGATGCCGGTAACGGCGACTCAGCTCTTCTAGATACTGCCCACTCAGGGACATATTAAGCTCTAGAGCTTTGATGCGGTTGTTGATCCGCATAAACACAGATTCCCGCTGGTTGCTTAGAGCTAAGGCGCCTGCTTCTGGGGGAGGAGCACGAACTTCCCTCAGTTGCAACTGTGCCAAGTAAAAAGGGGCATCATAATGATCAGGTTAAACTTCAGATTCCCACTAGGGTACCTGACAACAACAAAGAACATCTTGTAAGAAACACTCTTTCTTTTTTCTTAGCAGGAAGGTGCAGATTTGATTTCCAGCCACAGTAGCTGCATTCCAATGTTAGTGTAAGTGCAGGGTGGTGCAAATCTAATAGACAATGGAAGGCACAAGAGGAGACAGAAGGTACACCCTTCCTTTCTCCTTTTAGTTGCTTGTGCTTTTAACTTTACACTGCCCTTGCCTCAAAGGTATGCACCAAACACACAGTATTTCGAATTTAAGTCCACAATAAACAATGCCAGATGGTAAAAATTATAATGGATTTCATGACTTACACATACTGCATTATCATGTCATAGTTACGGGCACACAGAACACAAGGACTTAATTATAACTGCACAAAAGTGTCACAATATTCTCACTCAGTTACTTAGCAAGTGAATAATTTAGTAAAAAATACTAATAATTTAGATTTACTTAGTAATAATAATACCAAGTGCAGGCCAATTATTACCTGTCAGCATGCTACTTAGCTTTACAAAATTTTAGGTCCTATACTAGTAAAATTTGTTTTATTTTTCTTTTTTACTTTACTACCAATTTTTCTGTAGTAGTCACTATGTGGGCCCTTCTGCAGATGCACTGATCATGCCCAAACAGTTAGCAGATTACTTCAACTAGTTTTGAAATATAGTTTCCCTTTTTGAAAAAATTCAGGCTCTAAAACCACCAGGATACGAGAAATGTGCAGATTCTGAAAGCAGCGATGAGTCACAAGACATGGTTTACGATCGGTGTTGTAAATCCAGAAAAATCACAAGGGGGAACACACATCTTGCCAAGGCAGGCATTTTTTTTTTATAAAGAGAGGTTTCATTTATATATATATATATATATATATATATATATATATATATATATATATATATATATATATATATATATATTTATGCTTCGAAATAATATAAAAAACAAGCATGGGTCTTCTCCGAAACCAGTCTAATGTCGCACAGCTTAAGGGCATTTAACAAGGTGCACACTACAATATAAAAAGCCAGTAAAAAAAACTGACTGCACATACTTCACTGTTAATCAATTCACATATACTATAATGTTGAGAAGACAAATCTCATGAGAGGCCACACGCAGGATACTTAATTAACACCTTCCAAACTTCAAGAAAAATGAACTCTGAAAACATAGAGCCATAATGCGACTGATGTGTGTGCTGAAGTAGCATAATAATCAAACATAATACTCACATCGGTATCAGACACGAGTTCATCGAGAGGCAAAGGTACAGTGGCAATTACACTGCCACCATCAGTCTCTGGACCCATGATTAAAACACCACTGTGCACTTCACTCGTTGTTGGCTCTCCTAAAACGATTGTTACACTATTTGGTGATGCTGAGTCCACTGCAGGAGATGCAGCCTCCGCGCCAGCAGTTGATGTCTTTGAAGGATGAGTCTTCACGGACGTGGGCACATCAATGATTATTGGAGTTGCTGTCACTGAATCTGTAGTAGTAATAGACGATTGAGAGCTACTCTGAAGGGTGGTGGAGGCTGCAGAAGTATGTGATGTTGTGCTCTCCTGGTGGGACGTTTCAGGGGTACTGCTAAAGTGTTTCGATGTTGTTTCATTGTCCCAGAGGTCCTTTTGGTCAACACTAGTAACTGACTCAAGGCTAGAAGCTGCTGTTACACTTGAAGGACTAGAAGAAGCTTTTGAGCTTTCTGTCTGTGCTGTGTCGCTACTGGGCAAGACAACCGATTTTGATGTTTCCATTAGAGATGTAGCATTTGTAGAAAGCGTGGATGAAGATTTTGTTGGGGCTGATACCGATGTTGTTTCAGGACTGGAACTTGCTGCTGTCAGCTCGGTAGTGCTGTCTGTCTTTTGGGACACATCACTAAAGCTCCCAGTGCTCTCACTAGGTTCTTGTCCTTGATCAGATTGGCTTACGGGACAGTCATCTTCAAGAAATGTACGGTGAAACTGGCAGGTAATGGTTTCACTTGGAGTTTGCGTCCCTTCTGACTGACCCACAAACAAAGAGCACATGGTGCATTGCCGAAACTCAGACCCAAAAAACTGCAGACTTCTGTTTTGCTGGCAGCCAAGCCGTCTAGTAGTTGCATTGTGTGCTTGGTGAGACACATTCACAACACTGCAGTTTGCACTTGAACTGTGGAGGGAAATAAATATAGAAAGACTGGTCAGCGAGATGACCTACAGTCAAGGATTATCTTTCCAACAAAAAGTAGCTAGACAAAGTTTTTAAAATTAGGCCAAGGCATAAGAGCCTTCAGGTTAGCAGCCTCACAATGAAGTATTTTACATGTTTTCATATGCAATTATGAGGTTTCTCAACAAAATAAATATTGATCTTATTACGATGAGGTTTTTATAAATTAACATAATTATTAGTCTTAGGTGGCTAAATCAGACTAGTAACTTGTAGTTCATTCTTGAAGTAATTTTGTTTAGGCAAAAAAAAATTTCATTAGAAAGAGTTATAACAACAAATATTTCACACCGAAAAACCATTTCAAAGTAGAACAGATGCTTTTTAAGCTCTAGTTTCAAGTTTAGTGAGCCTTTGAATGTGAGATATCTGTTTGCCTAATAGTAGCAAGAGATTGGCATTCAAGTCTCCATATTGAAGACATGGAATGGAGTGGTTGGAATATTAAATACATCACTGAGGAGATCTTTTCAAAGCCTGTAACAGTACAGTCTTGTTAGCAACTTTGAAGGAGCACCTAAGTAGACACGTGCATCTGGTGGTTGTCACTACAACGTACGGCCAGGCATATATTTAGTACAGACTATAGAAAAAGTTTCCCATAAGGCTCATGTATTGGGATCTCTGATTACAAAGGTGCTGCCATTGCGGCCATTGCCCTACCGCGTGAGCATTACCAGCCTCGAATATGCATTATAGACGTACAAGACTTGATAGTAGAATTCAGTTTTCATTGTAATCAATGAAAGGGAGCTTACATGAAGCAGAGTTGTAAGTACCTGTCAACAGAAAGCACAGACAATGTACTGTGCCTCATAACTTAGTCACCACAAGAAAAGTGATTGGCCACGATCTTGAACTCAAGTGGTATAGAGGCACCATCTAGCAACAATGCCAGTAAATGATCCTTCCTGTGCCAAAACTCAGCACACAGTAAATTGCCTGAATTGCCTTGAATTTTTCTTTGGAGTCAGCTAAAATAAACATTAAACACCGTTTACACATTTCTGGTTCGTCAAAATGGCTGTATTTAATTGCCAATAGACAAAACAGCACTAAATTTGACTTATCTGTGAATGCTTGCAAAGGCAAGTATTACAATGATAGTGAATGGCGGTGTTCTTGTGGTCAGTGCTCTTTTGGCCCAGCTTTTCCTCGAGAGCCGGTAGTAATTCTATGGGCTCAGGAATGCCATCTCTGAAATGTTTCTGTGCTACCATATCCTTGAAGTACTGATGAGGAGCCGAGTAGTCTAGGTCATGTCCTTGTCATGGTGGCATTATTTTTTTTTTTCATTGATGGTTTTATAAATGGTTATTTTTGCACTGTTTTTGTGATGCTCTTGCCCACATTTTAAAAGTAAAATTTTGCATGAAGGCATCTTTGACTTGAAATTTAAAAATGAAACTTCAACCTTGAAGTGTGGCAGTGTGGGCTAGTTGGTATAACATGAGGATAGTTAAAGAATGAGAACAGAACCCCTTCTTGTCTCTTTGTCGTCATTCTGTTCTCTCGCTATAACTATTTTCAACCTAGAATGTGTCTGCTAATAATGAACTCATGACACTGAAATTTACGGCAATAAAGTTTTCAGAGTGAAGTTTATCAATCTAAACTAAGTCATTGTTTCTCTTTGGTGTCCCTTTAAGATTTAGTGACATTACAGAATGTGCCAAATAGGTAGAAACTAGAGAGACTTTTAAAAAGCTCACTTTGTGTGGCGATGAAAATTATTACTGTTCTGGTGGGCATTATTGTTTAGCACCACACAGTAAGATACGCAGATTGCTTGGCAATTCATACACAAGAGTACATGCTTCATGAAATAGAAACCGATCTTAAAAGCCTAATAAATGTCTCCTTTTTGTAAGCAGAGCGAAATTAACATTCAGTATTTCTGAAATATAGTAATTTATGATATTGGAGCCATTCGCTTATATATTATTAATTAGTGAAATACTCTTTTCAGCACCTAAAGTCTCAGTTAAACTTAGTACCACTGTATCTGGTTTTTACTGCCAGATGCTCCAAAACTTTTTGCTTTTGCTGATGGAGCTGATGCTACAAAGTGTGCTTTAGGAATAATTCAATATGCAACGAAAATAGTGAGAGCATAAAACCTACTCTGCACATGGAGCACTTGCCAAAGAATCCACAGCTCCTGCAAGTGAACATAAAAAATGCAGCAGCAGTTGAAGAATACTTGACATCACTTCCACAGCACACAGCTACAGAGATGAAGCCAGACTAAACAGATTTGAAAGTACAAATAACACAAAGTATTTTGAAGCTGCACTTTTTAATTACATTTCCCTTACATAAATTCAAAAGGTAAGAGTAGGAGAGCAGAGTATTTTAATAATCCTAATCATCACAAAACTTTGCCTTCACACTATGAGGCAACTTCGTACGCTGCTCCAAAGCCTTTCGCAACATGACACCACTGTGCCACAGAGGGCATCTTTCGCATCTTGAAATGCTTGCCCGCTTGCGCGATGCAACACGAGGCAATGATTGTGGTGCTTTCTGTCTATTTGGTGCATTATACTTTTAATGAGCTGAAATGAGGGTGTGAGATGACGAACCCGAACACATTTTGTGTGCCAGCAGGCAGTTTCGTTTACTACAAGAGAACAACCGGATGGTTTACAGTGTCTTGAGTTAAACCAGCGCAGAATATGAATGTGGGCCCTATTGCTACTCAGAGTGGCGATATAATTTTCGAAGTGATGTGCATGTGCTTGAAGCACATTGATGCCACGGACATCGTCACTGCCTGTGATTCTTATTTGAATGGTTTAAATCTTGTTCAGAAGTCGCATCGCGTTGGCAAAATAATTATAGCTGGCATTTATTTTATTGGTCATTAGATAAAATCATTCTACAGAAAAAGTGCGTGTATTGATTTATAGATTTATTGTTGAAATACTTCTCACACTTTAGCAGAAAAAGGAATAGCCATGACAAGCAAACAATCAGCTCTCTATGCAATCCATAAATAGCGATTTATTACTGGTGAATGGGGGTGCAAGAGACTAGATGTCTGTCTCTATTAAAAAATGGCACACTAGGGCGTTGTTGTAAGTGCAAAGCATTTACATTTAGGCAAACATTAAAAAGTGAAACCTATTAAAGGTTTCACCATCAGAGGTTTCACATCAAGACCAATGGCGCTCACCAAGCCACGGCTGCCACATTTCACTCGAGGAGAAAAAAATTACTGTGTATTTCGAAAGGCCAGTAAACAGGCTGAGACTTTTTTTTACACCCCGCAAACAAGCTCGCCAACTTGTACAGTAGACCGCAGCGTTGACGTTTTTCGAACATTACAAAGCTGCGCGCTCCGCAGACTCTCCATTTTGAAAAGCAATTCCATGCCCATTTCCTTCGCCTGACCAGTCCTTCTCGTACGTGCACAGTAATGAAAGCTTGCCAATGGGCAACTTTACGTACCACTGAGCTTGTCGATTGGTCCTTTGCCCTACGAAACAGTGCCTTGGCCCTGTGGTACAGTTTTGACCGCAGGGTCCGCATTTTCATTTTCCCGTGATGCCTTCTGCCGTTTTGTAGAGCCCTAGACTACTGAGTGAAGTGGCATTGCCAGAATGAAAGCCTCTGAGATAAAGACGCGTCTCGCTACTTAAGCGCTAGGGGAGGAGTGCTCTTCGAACTGCACTTTCTCTCAGCGCTGCTACGACATGTGCAGATGTTGGGGATGCAATGCTCAGTCGTTGGCTGTGCACCAATGACATATCGCTAGCATCGTGTCACGTTGCCGAAGTGGGCGGAGAGAGAAGAGGGGCAAGGCCGCGTGAGAATTCGAAACCCCCCGAGATGGATGTTCTAAACCCTGTAACTTCCTTATTATAGCATGCACTATCAAAATTTAGGCAGCAGCATGCTCACACAGCAAAAGTGCACATATTTATTTTGATAACAAATTTGGAACCTCAAGTTTGTTTACTGGCCCTTCAATTTATTTAAATACCTCGGATGATCAAAAGTAAATTGGAATCTCCAGTCCACTATACCTTATGATAATCATGTCACTTCAAATCAAAATTCTAGACTTTCTAGCTCAAACCACCACCAGCTGCTTCACATCCTGAGTGGCTACTCCTTAGTCTAAGTGCTCATTTAAAAATTTATGATTCACTCAGGAACTCATTTACACACGTTGAATGTTAAGAGTAGCTACATGAAAAGTAAAGCGGCTGTTGTAAACTTAGAAAGCTAAAACACTGAGGATGTCCCACACACGACCATAGCAATAGTAGTGTTTGCATGCCCTGTCAAGCACAGCTGCACCTCTGATAGCGGCCACTCGCTTGATATGAAACTGAGGCCACAATTTCGAGACTGTAAGAAGTATCAGAGGACTCTACTAGCACCAATGGAGCAATAAATCAATACAGCTTCATACAGATTTTTTTTTTTTTTGCCAATATTAAAATTCTCTCAGGAATTTGAGCCCCTGTCAATGCAGCAAAGCAATGCAAGGTGCTCAAATGCAAGGAAAATGAACGAAGATGTCACTGCATCGTTATGAAGGAAAGTGTGAATTTAAGGACTCGTTTTTTTTTTGTTAGACACAATATTAATGACTACTAACAGACAATATAGCCAAAAAAAAGATAGGGGATGTTATTATAAGTAATTGTAATGTAAATGTGAAGAAAGAAAAGTGGACAAAAAGATAACTTGCACGGACAGCACCCAAAGCTGCAACCTTCGAATAAAGCGTCAGATGCTTTATCGTCCAATAACGCGTCCGATGCATCACGTACTACGTGACGCCAACCAGGAAAGAAAGGGTATTCCACACTCCCCCTAATAGCAACAGGTGGTGCTGACTAACGCTTCCACATTTAAATGCACATATATATACGCTATAAAGTGTATGGGAGGATGACCACCATCATAATTCTGTGGTAGAGCATCGGATGCGTTATTCGAAGGTCGCAGACTCAGATCCTGCTGGTGGCAAGTTATCTTTTCGTTTACATTTATTTCTTCACATTAACATTACAATTACTTCTAATAACATACCACATACTTTCCCTGGCATTATTGTCTGTTAGTTGTCATTGATACTGTTAGTACATATTATTCACAGTTCCATCAATACAGTTTTCAAAAAAAAAAAAAAAAACCTGCATGCCCACTGTAAAAAGAAAGCAACTGACCATAATATCCTGCAGAGACCAAGAAATCGTGTCAGCTTAGTCGTGAATTCTGATCGTCAATAATAAAAATTTTAATTCTGTGGGTTTGTATGTCAAAACATTGAGTGGCACTTCACAGCACCTGATAAGCTAAACAAGAAAGCGATTTCAATTACTTTGAACAGGTATGTCATAGTGGTCATCAGTGCACTATGCAAATGACTGAGACATAGAGAGAGACAAGGACAAAGTGAGAATAGCAAAAATCAGACATGGGAATAGTGAAATCAAGACATGAGAGAGTAGCTGCACTTTCATTGCAGGCAGTCCAAGGTTCTAACCATTGCTGAGGCAATATATGCAATAGAACATCCCAAGAAAGTACTGGCTCACCGATTGCTACTATATATCTCACCTTCATTGGTTTAATGTATCTGCACATACAATATAAAGTGCACTGACAGCAAGACTTTTACAAAATGAATTTGCCTGGCACAACACCTCCCTTTGGCTTTGTGATAAATATACCATTACTAAACTAAACAGAGGATAATTAATATTCTGAGACTAAGTATACATACACTCACATTATCTACCCCTAACAAGATGAAGTTGCTTTGCGGAAGCTTTTATGTCATAAAATACTTTGAAGCTTAGCCCCCAAGAGACTGTTGAGACAGTGAAGAAAGATTACCTCCATCCTGGTCCCTTCTGAGCACTTTGAAGAGGCTGATTACAACATCTTTTGCCCTATCCACAACATTCCTTGATGCAGACCGTTCAGTAGAAGCTGGTTAAAAGAAAAAGAAAAAACAACCTTAACAACATACAAATAAACAAAGAGACAATGTACATAGCCCAGTTCCACAAAAGAAAGACTGCTACTAATCCTTTCTCTAGTGAAAGATTGTTACATTTTGGCACAAAGTCTACATTAGTACATTTTTCAGGGTTTCAAAAACAGTTTAATAATGTATTTCTGTTAGTACTGGTAGCCAGATTTTTATCTTGTGATGTGGGAAACCCTCACAAAACACAAAAAATCAGAAAATGAAGTGCACCGGTTGTGCACTATCTTCTGCTCCATTAATGCAGAGAACTTAAAAGAAGGCCTGTTAGTCCCTTCTTAGGTGACCGACCCACCACTGGTTCCACCTCTTGTCACTTGCTCTTTGCGGATGTCCCATAGATGTGCTCAGTTATAGTATAGGATTCACAACCTCAGCCAGTCTTTGACCTCCGAGAATTTACATTAGAAGGGCATGCCAGATTCCTGGCCTGTACACTTCCTTTCATTTTATGCTGTTTTGCAAGTGTAGCACAGGTAACATGAGGACAAATTACCAACTAGCCGACTTTTCAACCGTAATGCCAGATTGTCCTTTAGCTTTTAACCCTACTCTTGTAAGTGGCTCTGCTCATTGCAAGCACTGCTATGGTGATACTGTCTCTCTCTGAATTGTTAATAATAAAATTAAATGAAATAGCTTTTTAATGAGCTGCTGTGCTAACTTTGGCTATGCACTGATAAGTACACTTTACAGGAAAGGCACAAGAAAAAAAACTCACAATGCTGATAATGAACAGCATTCATATCGATGTTTTAGACTATCAGTGATAGTATAAAACATTACCTTGTTCAAAAAGACATCTGTGCCTTCAGGCACAAAACTAAAAAACTAAAAAACAATTTTTACCTTCTTCTTCATCATCATTATAAAACATTACTTTGTTCAAAAAGACATCTGTGCCTTCAGGCACAAAACTAAAAAACTAAAAAACTATTTTTACCTTCTTCTTCATCATCATCCTGAGCACTAGGGTCCTGAGGCTTCTCGACAAGTTGCTCGTAATCATCAATCATGGATGTGCCAAATACGCGCAACAGGCTCAGCGGGCAGTAGTGCTCTGATCCATAACGACTCAGCAACTCAACCTGCACCAAAGCGCACCCACCCACCAAAGACTTACACACTACACACATTAGCTTTATTACAATCATACACATAGCTTCGAACACTAAATGTTTATTTTTTTTAATAACTCCATCTTAAAATTTACACTTATGGCAATATTAATACACTTTCTCTAAAGTTATATAAATTCCAATTACTCTACACAGCATACAGTCAATATGCTGAATTTGCCTTGCTCTGGCAGTCGAGCAACTTTCTACAGGTTCAAAATTAAGTTATATAGTCTTCTTAATGTTAAGCACTTGGAAGAACCTGAAAACTACCTTTTCAGATAACTTGGGGGGACACAAAGTGAGACAATAATTATCGCGGTCAGCTGCCCAATGAACTAAGATTTATATTCAAATTTTTAGCGATTGCAGCAAGCGGGCATGCCTGTATCCCTCCAACACGGTTCCACTCGGAAGAAATCTACCAGCATATCGGTGCTCCTAGATATACCACTGCAAAGATTCATTGAGGTTTACATGATTACGCATGCAAGACAGTCAGTACTAGCACTAAGCACCTCCCAAATGTATTGTAGCAATTGCGTGCGTTGCTTAATCTGAGAGCGGGTTGAAGGCGCAGACATAGACAATAACGGTTACCCTTTTACTACCGGCTGGTGAAAGCAAGTAATGACTTTCACAACATTGGAGAGGAACATTGCACCGATCCTTACCACCCTGCAGGTGTAATTAAGAAAACCACAATTAAAAGTTGTAGAGGGAATGTCAGAGCACAGACATGCTAGCAGTCTTTCAAATGGAACCGTGAAGGTGACTGCCTCGAACCTCTGACTACAAACATGCCTTTTTGCTGCAGTCACTAAAAAATTACTAAATCTCAGTTAATTGGGCAGTTTACAGTAGCAATTATTGTCTCACTTTGTGTTTTCCTAGATATTTGTAAAAATTATCTTCAAAAATGGTTTTGAAGTTCGTCAAACCATTGAATATTAAGAAAACAATAAAGCTTAACTTTGAATATCTGCTATAGTTTCCAACTGATAATTAAGACTTCACAGTGCCTAAGACTGCATAAGCAGAGACAAAATATAAGATTGGCCAAAAATCCCACTTCTAAGTGGCAAAAAACAAGTTCCATATTCTTGGCCAATCACTTTTGGGGATACTTTAACCTTTGTGAGATTTATACATAACTAGATTAAGATGCATTGTCATATTGAAGTGATGATATACTTGGCACAGTAAAAAGAATGCCATTGTCGTTCAATTAAATGGTGCTAGTCATGTGAAACATTGCAATAGTATCTTGCAAAAGTGATTGCTCAAAAACATGGCACAGATTCGTCAATGCACTGCTAGATGCACATATGCTTGACAGTGATCTGGTCACTCTGTTGTTAAAGATCAACAGCCAATACATGAATCAAATCGCTACCGGTTTCCTGATCGAATCCCAATTTAATGAAAAAATCAGTAGATATTTCTTTTTCCTTTTTGTTTTTTCCCTGCATAATTTTCGATTTGTGTGCTGTCATATATAACATGTCACCTAACAACCATGTATAGATCCAAAATAGATATCCAGATGTCATGTCACCCATTTCTCAAGTTCTGGTAAACAGCACAGGCATATGGCAGAATACAAACCTAGGAATTTTTCCTTCCCAGCTGTATTGTTAGAACACTAGCTGGGATGTGAATAATTTATTATTATAAATCCTAAACATACGCACTTGCCCCACTTAGAAAAAACCTGCATTCAGCCTGCTCACAGTGCTTGCAAAGTAATTTTTTTTTTTTGCTAAGCCCAATGTAAGCAAGTTGTGTCTGGTAGAGCATAACAAAAACAACTCGAAAATTACCTTGATGTACTTTCCATAGGCTTCTGAATGGAGGTCAAAGCTCTGTACCACCTTCTGATCCAGTGCTGTGAAAATGCCAAGTGGTGTCCAGTCTCTCGTGGGGTACCTGTCACTCATCAGTACAGCGAACTCTCTGGGCATTGAAGAGAACAGCTCGAAATTGGCGATATCAACCTGGTCAAGGAAGCCGGGAAATGTACCATTGAAGACCCTCTCCCGTAGTCCTTGACATATTCATCAATAACTGCACCAGAAACAATGTAACCCCCCCCCCCCCCCCCCCAAAAAAAAATACAAAGCTGGTAACAAAAAGAAAAAGAGAGATAAATCTTTTATGTGCAGGTTATGGGCCTACTATCAAGCAATTTTACATTGTTTCAGTAAGTACCATGCATAGGTATCTCCACTCAAGCCACGACTTTCGTCAAAGTTTCAACTTGCTAGATGCTTGATTATTCCATAATGCAGGTGCTGTCTATGCCTAGTAGCTTTCAGTGAGTGCCAATATTTTTTTCTATCAGCACCTTGTTTCTTCCTGTACATTCCTTGCAGCAATCATGGCGAGCTTTAGGTGTACTTCCAGTTCAACGGTAGCATTTTCAAATACATAGCCCAGTATGCACAAGCTTCCCGAGGTACATTGGTTCACCAGTGTATCTGGGGGATACGGCCCACACAAGTGCCACAATGCCAAGCCACAGTGCAACAAGTGCAAGGGGAGTGTACATAGTCATCTGTCTTCTGGGCACAATCAAAGAGCCAATGCAGGCATTAGGACTGAATTCAGAAGAATCATTTGCCTGGTGTTAACATAACAGAAGCAGCATGAGTAGTTTAAGTAAATAAAGAAAGGTAGCACTACGAGTTGCAAAAAATATCCAAACATAACTATATAACAGCTTCTGAAAGGGACCCTGCAACACTTTTTCAGCATTGCCAGAAAATGCTGCCAATTGCTAGTCGAGGCTTCCGAGAACATCGTGAGCAAAACATATAGTGTAGCATGCGGCCTGGAATTTACAATTATTTTTAAAGTCAGTTAGAAATTGTTTCCTTTACTTCCTAGAAATGATGCCATATGCCCAAATAACCATGCTATATATCCCAATTCACAGTCATTGGCCATTATGAGCCTCATTGGCTGCAAAGTAATGGCAGATGTGGTACCGCATGCCCGTATCAAACTAGAGTAAATCACACGCTCAGAAAATAATAATAATAATGATGATGAAGCCCATGTGAAGTTACTTCTTTTCCTTGTGTAATCCCTCCCTGCTCAGCTTCCAGTGCATACGCCGGGACGAGATGAAAGCAATAATGGCATCGACAAATCTCTAACTCCGCTTGCACCTGAAGGATTCTAAAAATTTTTGTGGCAGTTGATTCGTGAGGCAATAAACTGATTCAAAAAAGCCACTTGATGGTTACTTGGAAAAATGTTGCATGGCCCCTTTAAATAAAAAAAATGTCAAAGACAAATTTACGTTACATTGAAGTTAACCAAAGCACTGCTGTGTTCAGAAGTGAGAGGTGATTGAATAAAGAACAATGTCAGAAAGGTACAATTTACTGAGCAAAGCTCATAGTAATATTGCTATGCAACAGTGGCACGGAGATGAAGAGGACAAAGAAGATAGACTGGCACGAGCTGATCTGTATGGCTGGCGCTGCTCGCTTAACCAGCTGTAAATATATCTGTGCCTACTCTTCCGAGTCGGTCTCCTTTTCGTAACATATTTGGTGAAATGGTGCAATCCCCGTCCTCACCACGAAACTCCGAAGCAAACGCTCGCTCGCGGCTTTCAACATGACTGATCAAGACTCGACTACATTCTCTCCGGTCGCCACGCCTTCTGCCTTGTCTGTCAATTCAGTGGCCGCAACAGCGTTCGTGATGCTTTCCGCCCTCAAAGACCCTGGTGTGTTCTCGGGCCACGAGAGTTTGGACGTCAACAAATGGCTACGCCTTGACGAACGGGTCGGCGCCACTTATAAGTGGGACCCACGCTCATGCTTGCAAATGTCATATTGTCGCAATGTGCAAAGAACAGGACACAAGGCTTCCTTTCGACGTTAACAGCAAGGCTCTATTCACACACAAAAACAAAGCGCAAGAGCAGACGCGCGACGTCATCTTCCTCGAAAAACGCCAGAGACTGCCGCTCATGATGCTGGCTTCTTCCTCCTTTTGTGTTTACGGCTAATAACCGTGACATTAGCCTCCCTCTCAAGAAAGCATCGTCCCGATGCTTCATCATCATCGCGGAAGGGTTTGTTGTCCCTGGCAACCCGCGGGTTCATTCGGACAAATAAGGTCTCATCCGAACCACGTGCACAACTTCCGGTGCATGTCTGACGTCTTGAACAATGTGGACTGTCGGGAATCACCTCATAGTTAACATCACTGAGACGACGGAGGACTTTACACGGCCCAAAGTGCCGTCTCAAGAGTTTCTCCGAGAGGCCACGATGGCGAACTGGGGTCTAGATCCAAACTTTCTGTCCTGGTTCATAAGAGACAGGTCGGTGACGAAGATTATAGCGCCTTGTGTCATACTTTTGGTGGCGACGAATACGTACGCGGGCAAGTTGGCAGGCTTCTTCAGCAAGCTGAGTTATGTAGTCTGCACTTGTGTCAACGCCATCACTTTCATGTGGCCACATAGCGTCGAGCATTGTTGTGACGTCACGGCCATAGAGAAGACAGAATGGTGTCATGCGTGTTGTCTCTTGCTGTGCCGTATTGTAAGCGAAAGTGACTTAGGGCAGTATGTCGTCCCAGTTTTTATGTTCCACATCGACGTACATGCAAAGCATATCCGCAAGCGTTTTGTTCAGCTGTTCCGTCAGACCATTTGTTTGTGGATGGTATGGCGTTGTGCGCCGGTGAGATGTTCCACTTAGTCTTAAAACTGTGCATAATAACCCGGCTGTGAACGCTTTTCCTCTGTCAGTTATTACTACAGATGGAGTGCCATGTCTCAGGACTATATTCTCAATGAAAAACCGGGCTGCTTCACTTGCTGTGCCCCGCTCTAAAGCCTTGGTTTCGGCGTAGCGAGTAAGGTAGTCTGTGGCTACAATTACCATTTGCGACCAGCAGCCGAAGTTGGAAATGGTCCTAGAAGATCCATTCCGACTTGAGCGAATGGAGTTTCCGGTACATCAATTGGATGGAGGAGCCCTGCTGGTTTGACGGCTGGCACTTTCCTACGTTGGCACTCAAGACAAGTCCGAACGTGCCGTTGAACCGTTGCTGCCATTTTCGGCCAGTAATACTTCTGTCTCACTCGGCGTAGCATTCGTGTGTGGCCTAAATGACCGGATGTTGGTTCGTCATGGCACGCCTCTAGTACTTCTTTCCTGAGTGGTGTTGGGACGACAAGTAAGTAGGTGTTGCCGCTCGGAGAAAAGTTCACCTTATAAAGGACCTCATTGCGCAAACAAAACGATGCTGCCCCTCTTGCGAAGAGCCTTGGCATAGCAGATGTGCGTCCCTCTAAGAAATCAATAAGGGGTTGCAACTCGGGATGATCGCGTTATTGCTGTGCCATTGCAGACGTGTTTACTACACCGACAAACGCCGCACCGTCATCATCTTCAGCATTTGCGTCTTTTAATGGGGCGCGAGAAAGGCAATTGGCATCTGTATGTCGCTTTCCGGATTTATAAACTATAGTCATATCGAATTATTGAAGCTGGAGGCTCCAGCGCGCCAATCGTCCTGACGGGTCCTTTATGTTCGTCAACCAACAAAGCGAGTGGTGATTGCTGATGACTTTGAACGGGTGGCCGTACAAATATGGACGAAACTTCATGACCGCCCACACTACCGCAAGACACTCTTTTTCTGTGGTAAAGTAATTATCCTCTGTACGGTAGAGAGTCCGACTTGCATAAGCAATTACTCATTCGGCGCCATCTCGCCACTGAACGAGCACAGCTCCTAAGCCGACATTGCTGGCGTCAGTGAGAACCTCTGTCGGAGCGTCATCGTCGAAGTGTCCGAGAACTAGCGGGCTTTGAAGACATTGTCGCAGCTCGTTGAACGCTTCCTACTGCTCTTCACCCCACACAAACGTGACGTCTTCTCGGGTGAGTTGTGTTAAAGGTGATGCAATACGCGAAAAACTCTCAATGAAGCGTCGGTAATAGGCGCACAGGCCTAAAAATCGCCACACTGCCTTCTTGTCTGCTGGCGTAGGAAAACTTGCAACAGTGGATATTTTGTCTGGGTCAGGCCGTACACCTTCACTGCTGACAAGGTGTCCCAACAAAAGAAGCTCTTCGAAGCCAAAGTGACATTTTTCTGGCTTCAGTGTTAGTCTGGCCGATCGTATCGCTTGAAATACCGTGTGTAGTAGCTTCAAGTGCTCGACAAATGTCGCTGAAAATACAATTACATTGTCCAAATATACCAGGCACGTTTGCCACTTTAGACCTGACAGGACTGTGTCCATGAGCCGCTGAAACGTTGCCGGTGCTGAGCACAAGCCGAACGGGAGAACTTTAAACTCATAAAGACCATCGGGTGTCACGAATGCTGTTTTTTCTCGATCTCTTTCGTCAACTTCTATTTGCTAATATCCGCTCCGTAAATCCGTCAAAGAGAAATACCGTGCATGGCGTAGTCGATTGACAGAATTGTCTATACGAGGCAGCGGGTAAACGTCCTTTTTCGTAACCTGATTGAGCTTGCGGTAATCAACGCAGAAACGTAAGGTGTCATCTTTTTTCTTCACCAATACTACCGGTGATGCCCAAGGACTTTTTGACGGCTGAATAACGTCATCCTGAAGCATCTTTCACACCTGACTTTCTATGGCCTCACGTTCCCGCGGAGCTACTCGATATGGGTTCTGCCATATGGGTCTGGCCGTTTCATCCGTAATTATGCAATGTTTCATCAACGGCGTTTGGCGAACTCTGGACGTCGAAGAAAAACAGTCCTGAAACTCATTAATAAGCTTCAGAAGGCATTGGTTCTGCGGGGGCAGTAAACTTGGGCCAACGTTGACGCATAGAGGGGCTGACCCGGTGACATCGGCTTTCTCCACAGTCAAGCAGCCTGCAACCTCAATGAGCTCCTCGACATACGCGACTGCCATACCTCTTGCAAGATGTGGTCGCTCAGTACTGAAGTTCGTAACCAAAACAACGTGTGTCCACAATTG